GAGAGCTTTGGAAGCCGTGCTGTGAGGGGACATTGGTTCTTACTTTTAAGTGATGCCGTGGTAAATCTCTGGGTCTCATCCGTGGAAGCTGAGGGTGACGTCAGTGTTGATGTGCGGGTGACAACATTATTGTCAGGTGGGTAACTGACAGCAGTGGCAGCCTGTGGGTGACACCGACAACTAATTGAAATTTGTGGGTGTGCAAGATTACAAATGGGGATGATCCTTGCAGGATCCTGGTGACTTTATGTATCCTCATCACCAAAAACATAGGCATGTTTCTGATTGAGAACTGCGGACGCCAACGACGCCAGCACGTGGATTCCATACTGGTCAACCGCCACCCGCCGCCGGGGTATTACAACGGCGTGCTCGGCGGGAGGGAGGGGGGGGGGGCGGTGTTTTCGGGGATGGTTCACTGGTAAACGTCCACCTCCCGCTGGCACCTCCTGCCGACGATCCCAAACAACCTTATCCCCAGATCGAACCACGAACTGTGAGCTGGCCCCGGTGACTCCAGCGTACCCCGCTGAGATGCCGGGTGACCTGTCTGATGTCTCACTGGTCTCTTCATCTGGAGTTCTACAGTATTGAGTAAGGTGTACTGAAGCAGCTGCGGTTTATTTAGCTCACGCATAAGAGACATCTCTGGCATTCCTGGAGGTCAGGACTCGTCCCAACAGTGCTGGTTGCCGGTGATGGGTCACGATACATCGTAACCCAATCCAGGTATTTCTTGTCACATTTCTTCGCTGGGTTATTACGGAGCTGAGTAGGTAACACTTCCCATGAGTGCGTCCCTCGACGTTTTATATTATTGACGGTTTTTAGCGAGATTCGAATACGTTTAATACTTTAATCATCCAATTTGTTACGGTGTAATTTAACGATAGCATCGATTCAGTTCGACAGGTTAATAGTTCAGATCGCTCAGGCGCAAATATTTGGAATGATTCAATTACGTCCACCAGAGGCGGCCACCGGCCAACGCTACTGAACGATGTTAATAACTCGTTTTAAAGTAGGGCGCTTTTTGCAGCGTCACCTACATTTCACAGGGGGTCGGGGCGGGGGGGGGGCATCGCCTGCTGGATTCAATTACATTAGCCTGCGTTTCATGCGCTATCAAAGGTTACGGCACAGACACTCAAGTGCAGGTGTTAACCACGTCCCACACAACCGAAGCGCAGTGGCAGACGAAGCCCTTTGCTGCCGACCCCAGGATGAGCTGACTCTGGATGAAGGATCACGCAGGATGTCCTGACTTTGGATAAAGATAACCAGGTCGGATGTCGAGTCCTGTTAAGTCAGCACCCAAGACGAAACCTTCCGGCATCTATCTGCCCTACAATGTTCCCAGAGTGCTGAGACATTGTAGGGTCTTATGTTCCCAGCTCCTTCCTATACAATACAATGCTCCCAACTCCTTCCCCCGCCCAGACAAGTATTAATCCAACGACGGGCGCGGCGACCTTCAACTTCACTCATGTCTTAATTTTCGGCATCTTTGTCGTTTTTACCTTTGCGTAGGAGAATAACGCGCCCCAGTGCATAGACATGACGTTTTCATGTTTTTTTTGCCCGCAAATAATGCTCGCAAAAGTTTTTCAATTCATCCAACTACGTAAGAAAAAAAATAGGCAGTCCCCTATTGCATTTATTGCCTCCGAACTTGCTAGAAGTACGAGTAGGATTCCAGTATTTTTCTATGACACAGGCTCCCAGCGGGGAGAGGGGTGGCGGCTTATTACCAGCGAATCAGCAGTCAATAATTACGAGCGCTTTGACAGGGGGGAATGCGGGGCACCCATAATTCATTCCGGGCGTTTTTCTGTGGGCCGGGGGCGGTCTCGGCTTTCCACCCCAGCCCGCGGGCCCAGTTCAATCAGCTCTAGTCATCTTCCAGCTTGTAATTCTGCGTTTTTCGGGGAAAAAACAAGAGGCCACACATCTTGCCGGTCGCAGGGCGCGCGCGCGGCGTTCCCGTCCGTGCATTCCAGCGATGAGATTCGACAGATGGCCGCCGGTGGCGTGGAGAGCGACTATCGAGAGCGGAACGGGCGCAGCTATGACCAGGCAGACCTCGGATACGACCGGCTGGAAGACCGCAGACGCTTTATCAGACGGCCGAGCGGCGAAAAATCCGCAGAATGGCAGCAGTGGGCTGTTCAGGGCCTCGGCTCTGTCACGAAAACGAGGAAAAATCGCAGAAACAGGTCCGTTTGCTCGCGAGTGCTCGGTGAAATAAAATCCTGTAACAACCACTTCACACTTATTTGTTTTAAGACGGTAGAGCTTAAACACATCGGAGGTATTTGACCTCGAAACAGAGGAGGAGCTCTCTCTAGATTGTAGATGGCGGCTTGACTGCTCAGGCATACACTTGCCATATTTCTGGTTGATAAGTCGGCAACAGGCGTGCTATCAATGCAAGCTCGGCATCTGAATGCGTTAAGCCACGCTGCATTTTCATGCTTGGCTATAGCCTATGTCGCGGCATTTGGGCTCAACTGCTTTCATACA